CAAGGGGTGTGATCTAGACAGCTTACCCTAACATAAATATTAGTGACTGCTTCCACGATTTAATAAATTACACTGCAATAACTTTACCGTTACTCCAAGTTTCCTTTCTAATTTGAACTCACAACTGGCTGCTGCTGCACATTTTGCGATCAAATTATATAAGTATTTATTGAAGACACATGTAATATTATTATTGATTTAATATAAAAATCAGATATGAGTATTTCTTCGATGACTTCTCATGAAGCTTCGACTACTGTGGTTTAATTTTCGCTCATTTTGTTTTCTTTAAAATTTTGAATGTTGCCCATGGTTTTGAAGTTCGACGATGGTTTATTCATTTTGATTGATGAAGTAGACTTGTACATATACTTTTACCTAATCTTATCTCTTGATATTTTGGCTAATGGATGGGAATGCATTTTCTTTGTAATATTCATCTTAAATGAAATTATGACAAAGGTGACAAAGACATGTTAGAAATTTTGGATAACACCATATTAAAGAAATTGTGTTTTGGCATAGGAAGTAATTATAAGGAATAAAGAGTCTCCTATCGTTTTATCCACTAATCTTAGAAAAATATTTTGGGAAAGAGCGAATCTATGACTGATACAATAATGGTTCGTGAGAGAATTTCCTACGTACTACCACAAACTTTGTAAACTTACTTAGGAACTAGAAATATATCAATAAAATGCAAAAAACAATTATCGCATATAACTAGTGATAATCATTTCCTTCATATATAACAAAAGCAATAAGATGGTAATGAAAGTATAATTGCACCACTATATATATATATATATATATATATATATATATATATATATATATATATATATGTTACCTTATCATGGATATACTCTTTCTTGTAATTTAGTCGTGGGCTCGTGGCAACTATAGTCTATTGTCACGACCCCAATCCCGGTCGTGGTGGCGCCCAACACACTGCTAGACAAGCCCGACCATTTACACAACCTTGACCAAATAACCTAGGTGGATAAATGAATATTCACAAGTAAAAACAGCAATTTAAATGCGGAATCTCTGAAATAATTTCTAACATTCAAAAACCCCAAGATAAAATACTAAATAGCCCAGATCTGGTGTCACGAACATGAGCCTCTAAAACGGAATATTCACCTATCACAAGTCTGTCTAGGAAAGAAAAATACGAATAAAAGGATAAAATGGATGGGAGAGATCAAGGCTGCGAACGCCATACAGCTACCTCGATACTCCCGGATAATGCTGCTCCGCTAACAAGTCCTCACTCACCCTGTGGTGTACCTGAATCTGCACACAAGGTGCAGGGAGTATTGTGAGTACTTCCAACCCAGAAAGTAATAAACATAAATAAGGGTTGAGAGTAAGAAAATCCTGGACAGGCACAAAGTAAGCTATAATTACAGCAGCTCAATCTAAATAATATCAACTCAATAAACTAATGAAAAACAATTATAGAATATCACAGCAGATAAACAAGTAAATGGCAATCAAGTATGCAATAAAACACATAAACTGGTACCTCCAGTACCCCGCTGCGGCCGTGCAGCCCGCTCCATTTATTTAACGTCGACGGCGCTCACTGGGGGTGTGTGACTCCGGGAGGGGCCCCTTACGGCCCAAGCGCAATAATAAGCCATCTCGTGGCATCAAACAGGCCCTTGGCCTCATATCAATATCCTTCTCATACCACTGCGGCGTGCAGCCCGATCCAATAATCAGTCCAAAATCACATAAGCCTTTCGGCATAATAGTATAAAAATATTCAGCCCAAACTTTATTTAAAAATATTAATTTAGTTTCTGCTTTAAGAAAAATGGCTGAGTTTACAAAACAGTGTCAAACACCAGGACTGAGTTCAATATCTATAAATATGGTAAGAAACCAGTAAAATAATCCCTGAAGGATTCAAGTAGTTGGCACGAAGCCCAATTATGACAATTAATCCATTTTTATAAGGATATTACAAATCTACAATCAAATAGGTATCAATTTTATTAAACGGGACGGACCAAGTCACAATTCCCGACGGTGCTCTATCCCACGCCCGTTATCCGGCGTGCAAGTCACCTCACATAGCACTACGTTGTGCGAATTCGGGGTTTCAAACCCTCAACACAACATTTACATTTATTACTAACCTCAAGCCGGCCAAAGTCCTAGCTTGCTATGCCCTTGCCTTTCAAATTCACCTCTTCGCGCATCGAATCTGACCAAAACCACAACGAATACGTCACAATATGCTAAGGGAATATAACTCAATCGAAAAGACTCGAAAAATATCGAAAATCACGAAGTTGGCAAAACCCGAGCCCCGAGCCCACTTCTCGAAAAATTATAAAATTCACATCACAGGATTCCTCGCCTCGCCACGAGTCTATACATATAAAGAACACCAAAATCGGAGTCCAAATGACCCCTCAAATTTCCATTTTTGTTCTCTTAGTTTCAAGCCCTAAACTACCATTTTTGACCTTAAATCCTTGAGTTTTCAGTCTAGTTTCATGTGTTTGCACCATAAAATCGTGTTTTTGGTTTAGAATTTCTTACCTCAATGAAGTCCTTTGATTCCTCTCCTCCAACTCGCCCAAATTCTCCAAGTCCGAAGTGAAAATATGAAACCCTTTCAAAAATTCGCGAAGGGAAATAAAAACTATTCTGACCAGTTATTTCCGCATCCGCGGCTCCATGGCCGCATCTGCGGCTCCCGCTTTTGCGTTCAATGCACCGCTTCTGCGGACCTATCAGCTTCTGCGGTTTAACATCCGCTCCTGCGCCTCCCGCTTCTGCGGACCAACTAACGCATCTGCGGATCCCCATAAGAGCTCAAATACCGCATCTGCGGTCCTCCTGTCGCATCTGCGACTCCGCAGATGCGGTCACCAATTCCGCACCTGCGGTCCCTGCCGCTTCTGCGTCTCTCCTATCGCTTCTGCGGTACCGCTTCTGCGATCCCAATTCCGCAGAAGCGAAAATACCAGAAGCAGCACAGGTTCTGCAATCTCTTAAGTTCAAAACTTCCCGTTAGCCATCCGAAATCACCCCGAGGCCCTCGGGACCTCAACCAAAAATACAAGCATGATCCAATACCTTATTCAAACTTGCTCCAATCATTAAAACACCTCAAACAACACTAAAACCATCATTTCTCATCGAATTCAAGCCTAAGTTCTTCTAAAACTTCCGAAACACGCATTCGATCAGAAACCCAACCAAAACACCTCCGAATGACCTGAAAATTTTGCACACATATCCAAAATCACCTAACGAAGCTACTGCAACTCTCGGAATCTCATTCCGACCCCCGGATCAAAATCTCACCTACCCGCCGGAATTCGCCAAAATACTAACTTCGCCAATTCAAGCCGAATTCTACACCGGACCTCCAAAATTACTTCCGATCACACTCCTAAGTCACAAATCATCCCCCGAAGCTAACCGAATCGTCGGAATCCACATCCGAGCCCTCCAACTCATAGGTCAACATCCGATTGACTTTTCCAAAACAAGCCTTCCTTAAAGAGACTAAGTGTCTCATTTCTTATCAAAACCATTCCAAACCAACTCTAACACATCAAATACTGATAATGAAACATGAAGAAGCATAACATGGGGGAAACGGGGCGGTAACTCACGTGACGACTGGTCGGGTCGTCACATCTATATGTATTAAGTAGGCGTTTGGACATAAGAATTGTAAAATTCGAAAAAATGGTGAAATTTTTTTTCAAATGAAAATGGTGTTTTAAATTTAAAGTTGTGATTGGACATAAATTTCAGTTTGGGTTATTTTTGAAGTTTTGTGAGTGATTTGGGTGAAAATTTTGAAAAACAGCTTTTCAGTAGTTTTTCAATTTTTTGAAAATTTCCAAAATGCATTTTCAAGTGAAAATTGTAAATTTTTCGAACAAACGCTGATTTCGAAAAAAAGAGAAATTTTTTTGGAAAAATCTTCCAAACAAATTTTATGTCCAAATGGGCACTAAGAGAGTACGAAAAAAAGGTGGTGAAAATAATTGTCGATCGTGCACTTTTCAAAAATATATTTTCTTATGAAATTAGCACTTTACTCTTTAGCAAATTTGATTTATTTCGTCGAAAAGCGTGGCTGAGCAAAATCTCCAAATAAAGTTACAAAAGGAATCAAAAGGCAAAGCAAGAAAAATGAAAAAAGAGCTCTTTTTATGACATTAAAAAAAGTTTAAAAAAATAAATAAATATGAATTTAATGGCATTAAAATCGAGTTCTGAAAATTGTGTTTGTTTAACAGTTTTTACCACACAAAAAAAAAGTTTCAAAACAATTCACATTGTTTTTAAGCAAAACGGGCAAAATGCACGGAAACCATTTATAATTTTTCCGTGTTATTAGATTAAATTGTCTTACAGTAATATGTAATTTAGTCTAACGTAAAACTTGTTATAAACATTAAATTTACATTAATAATATAATTTTCTTAACAATAAGTAGAACTTAAATCTTACAAATATACATCAACCATTTTCTAGGGATTTATATAGTCTCTTCAATTTCATTATAAGACAAGCCGGCAGCCGCCCTATGAATCTACAAATGTAATCAAATACAGTACGAACATAAATTGGGAAAGTAAAAAAAACATAATATAAATTTCAATGAAAAGACCCGAAGCAAGAAATTAAATGAAAATCAACTTAAAAAAGAAAATTAGATGGATTCATAAAGAGATTTTGAAAGTTCATGGAGGCCAACTATTATGATAATACCAAGAAGATTCTAGCCAACAATGTTTACATTTCATTACAAATAATTTTCAAAAATGAAAACTAAATTTAATTTTTAAAAACGAATTAATTATAACTAAAATAGCGTTTTGAGGTTGTCGTGGACCCCATGATTAGAGTGGTAACGAGCTGGCAAACCAAGTCATAGACAGTCTGTTCTTTAACCCCCACCCCCCCTTGGGCAACCCCCTACCCCCACCACCTCCATACAACATATACATATACACTCACCATCACCATTTCCATAACATCACTTCCTCCACAACTTCATACCCACTTCTCAAAATCTGTTCTTTAGCCCTTCTGAATTTTCACTTCTCAATCTCCTTTTGAATTTTTGCGCTTTTGGGCTCACCAGAAAATCAAGAAAATGGCGGAAGAAACCAAGAAACCAGCCTCTGAGACTACGCCGGAGACAACCCAAGAGGTTGTCGTGTCTGATGTCCCCGTGCCGGAGAAGGAAACTGCCACCCCTCAACCTGAACCAGTACCTGTCCCTGAGACGCCGGAGAAATCTGCTGCTCCGGTGCCGGAGGAAAGTACTGAAGCTGAAACTGATAAGGAAAAAGATGCTGTTGCTGAATCTGCTTCGTTTAAGGAAGAGAGTAACAAAGTTGAAGAGCTCCCAAATCCTGAACAAAAGGCTTTAGCGGAGTTCAAACTGTTGGTTCAAGAGGCTCTGAACAAACATGAATTCACTGCTCCGCCGCCACCCCCGCCGGCCAAGGAGGAGGAGAAGAAACCAGATGCTGAAACAGCTGAACCTGCCGCTGCCGCTGCCCCAGAGGAGGAGGAGAAAAAGGAAGAACCTGCTGTCGCTGCTGCTGAAACTACAGCCGCCGCTGATGTACCGGCTGAGACCCCGGCGATAGCGGAGCCAGTGAAGGAAGAGGAGAAAAAAGAAACTCCACCACCAGCTCCAACGGCGGTGGTGGAAGAGAAGAAAGAAACTCCACCACCAACTCCGCCGGCGGTGGAAGAGAAGAAAGAGGAGGAGAAAGCAATTCCACCACCAGCAGCACCGGCGACCGCAGAGCCATCGGAGAAAGTGACCGAAAAGGTTGCAGCAGTGGTGGAAGATGACGGTGCTAAAACCGTGGAGGAAATCAAGGAGACAATAGTCGAAGTCACAGCCGCCGCTGCACCACCAGCACCGGCGGAGGAACCAGCAGTTTCAGCAGCCGCAGAAGAGGAGAAACTAACAGAAGAACCAAAAGAAGAAATCCCACCAGAAGAAGTATCCATCTGGGGAATTCCCTTATTGGCTGACGAGAGGAGTGACGTCATCCTCCTCAAGTTCCTCAGAGCCAGAGATTTTAAGGTGAAGGAAGCTTTTGCCATGTTAAAAAGTGTCGTGGCATGGCGCAAAGAGTTCAAAATTGATGAACTTTTGGAAGAGGATCTGTCTGGATTAGGACTGGAAAAAGTTGTGTACAATCATGGTGTTGACAAAGAAGGACATCCTGTTTGTTACAATGCATTTGGGGCATTTCAGGACAATGAATTGTACCAAAATACTTTTGCTGATAAGGAGAAGATGAACAAGTTCCTCAGATGGAGAATTCAGTTCATGGAAAAATCTATTAGGAACCTTGACTTTAGCCCTGATGGCATATGCACTTTTGTTCAGGTTATTGATCTCAAGAATTCACCTGGACTTTACTTTTTCAAGAAAGAGCTTCGACAGGCTACCAACCGTGCCCTTCAATTACTCCAGGACAATTACCCTGAATTTGTTGCCAAGCAGGTAATGCTCCTTTTCTCCAAAGTTCATGTTTTTGACTTATCTTAATGTGTATTTTATGAAGGTAGTCCTGAAGTAACGGTAAAGTTGTCTGAAGTAACGGTAAAGTTATCTCCGTGTGACCCATAAGTAGCGGGTTCGACCCTTGAAGCCAGCCACTAATGCTTGCATTAGATAGGCTATCTACATCACACCCTTCTTGGGATGCGGCCCTTCCCTGAACCCTGCGTAACACATCTCGTGCACCGGGTTGCCTTAATGTTTATTTTGTGATTCTTATGGTGAGATTTTTGGTTCTAGTTTAGTATGTTGTTTGTATAAATACTGACAAAAGTATGGTTTTTTATGACATATCTGATAATATTTGGTAGTTGGTGGTTAGAAGACACCCCTGTCTAACCCCAAAAGGGGGAAAAAGGACAATCTTTAGTTTTTCTTCTTCCCTTTCTTAGAGTTCTGAATTGGTATAGAATGGTATTTAACTGGATTTTTGGTGTTGATGGTGATGAAGGTGTTTATCAATGTGCCATGGTGGTATCCAGCTTACTACAGGATGATTAATGCACTTTTCACTACAAGGACCAAGAGCAAGTTTGTCTTTGCTGGCCCTTCAAGATCTGCAGAGACTCTCTTCAAGTCAGTACACTAACTTCTGATTTTATTTCTATATATTCCCCTTATTGAGTGATGATCTTCAACCATTTTTGACTGAATTCTACAAATATTGATGTGTTTGTTGGATTTTGTGGTTGAAAAAATTTCAGATACATTGTCCCTGAACAAGTGCCAGCTCAATATGGTGGACTTAGTAGGGAGGGTGAACAGGAATTCACTATTGCTGAGGCTGCAACTGAGGATACCATTAAGCCTACTTCCAAACACACTATTGAATTCCCAGTTACTGAGGTAAGCTAACTGTTACCTTACAAATACCCTCAATCCCATATCTTAGTCACTATGTTAAAGTACAATTGGATTACAGCCTCTCTCTCTGCGGGTAAGGTCTGCGTACACATTACCCTCCCCGGACCCCACTTGTGGGATTATACTGGGTATGTTATTCTTGTTGACTGTCAAGAGCAGCCCGGTGCACTAAGCTCCCGCTATGCACTGGGTCCGGGGAAGGGTCGGACCACAAGGGTCTATTGTACGCAGTCTTATCCTGCATTTCTGCAACATGTTGTTTCCACATCTTGAGCCCGTGCCCTCCTGGTCACATGGCAGTAACTTTACCAGTTACACCAAGGCTCCCCCTCAAGAAAAGCCTAATGTTAATATTTTGGGACATGGGGACTGAATGCCAGTGGCATCTATTTGTTACTATCTGTTGTTTCAATTCTGTGTATTTATGGTGATAATTTTGGAAATTGCAGAAGACTAGTTTGGTGTGGGAAGCTAGAGTAATAGGGTGGGATGTATCCTATGGAGCAGAATTTGTGCCCAGTGCTGAAGGTGGATACACAATCATTGTGGAGAAATCAAGAAAGGTTGCAGCAGCAGATGAAACAGTGATTACCAACACCTATACAACAGTAGAAGCAGGCAAGATTGTGCTTACATTTGACAACCAAACATCTAAGAGGAAGAAGCTTGTCTACAGGTCCAAGACCAAACCCTCTGATTGAAGACAAACATATAAAAACTGCATTGGAAAATGAAGAGGGTTCTTTTGTTCTTTCATAGTTATTTATTTTAAATTCATTTTCTCATGTTGATATAAAAATTTAATTTTGAGTGTGTGGAGATATTTATTTAATATTTGTTGGGATTTTTTATGGAATATTTTGGTTTGGATTGTTTTCTGCTATATATGTGGAGGAAACAACTAGGTGGTTTTTGCAAATGGATGATGAGGAAAACAATGTGGAAATTTATACAGACTGTTGGTTGTAATATTTGTTGGTTGGAATGTGGACAGAAAAACTTTGGTTACTAGCTGTTTATACATTCCTGTAAAATTTGTGTAGATTTTATGTTGTTGTCCTTACTTTTCTTTCTCTTTTTGTGCATGTTAGTGATAATTAATGCATCCCCCACATTCCTTTGTCATTTTGCTCATAAAATTTTTGTTATTTTTTCCCTGTCTCTATGTTAAGATGATCCCAATGTGTGATATTTTACATGCTAGTATTGTATTTGAAATATCCTACAAACTTGGAAACTCTTCTTAACATTAAACTATTCGAGTTTCTATAGTTGTTTTCGGTTTCATTTGAAGTAGTTTTTTACTAATAAATCTTGAATAATTAGTTTGTTTTTCCTCGTAAATAAATCCTAATTTATCTCTTCAATTAATCTCCCAATAAGAATCGTTACGCGGTGCCTTCCTGAGATTCCTTGGAAGGGCGACGTAAAGCTAAGCATCTGATGTCAGTGCAGTTATTGTCCGCCACCTGAGGTCCCCTCCGTACGGTAGACGAGATTGTCAGTGCCGTACGAGAAAACCAATGTCAAGAGCAATTGAGAGAACAGAAATGAGAATTGAGAATGAAAGAAAGCTAGAAAGCTTGATTGCATTAATGGAAGCTATTACAGAAAAGCAACACGGTGTCGAGGGGGAGAGACACCAGTATAGAGAATTGTTTGCTTGCTAGAAAGTTTGATTGCTTGATCCCCCTAATAATGCTTAAAAAAAATAATCCAAAGCTACAAGACTAGACTTGACTAAGCTAGAGAAGCATAATGGAAGTACATGAAATAAAACTACTCTATATTTAGAATGAAAAAGACTTAGTTTTCTATAAGGCAACAACAGGTCCTTTGTTAGCAGCATTGTCTTTGGCATCACGGTCTGCGCGCGCGGCGCTGTTGGCATCTGTCTGCGGCTGGGCGCTAGCGAGGGATATCGGTGGGGCGACAGAGGCACATGCGCGCTTGTCACTTGGCGCGACCAGGACCTCGGGGCCGTCCGTGGCACTAGGCATTGGGAGGCTTGCTAGGACGCTAGGAGCGCGCCCAAGGAGTCATGGGGCATGGCTGGAAAGCCGCCCGGGACAGAACGCGTGATAATTGATGTTTTCATTAATTTTTATAGATGTATGGTGATGTTACAAGTTAGAACTTGGAAGCTCTTGGGGTAAAAAAAAATTGGATGGTTTAGTCTTAGTGTGTGAATTCCGCTAGGTCAAAATTTTACGTGGATTTACACTGAATTAATGAAGGTTCATACACAATTATTGGATGTAATTTGATGTAAATATCGGATACAAATAAATATTTACCAATTTCAAGAAAACCAATTATCTATTAAGTTGGTAATAAATCTTTTATGCATTTACCAGACAGTGCCCAGAATCAGTGGCGAAGCCACATGGTCACAAGGGTGGTTAGTTGACCACTCTTCGTCGAAAAACCCCATTGTGTATATAGGTAAAATATTATGTTTTAGAGGTATATAACACATATTGAGCCCCCTTTGTCGGATTTTTTTTCACTTCTTTCAAATTTGAATACCCTTGAAAAAATTTCTAGCTTCGCCATCAATAAGTTTATTCGAGGTGTGGGCTTATGAGGAAAGGGACACAAGAAAAGAATACGGAAAACGACACTGTAAACTGCTTTTAAAATAATAGACGAATATATATATATATATATATATATATATAAAATTATAAACTTTTGCGTCTACCGAATATAAATAGTTCTGGTCGCGGATTAAAGTGATCTTTGCCCTAAAGAATAAGATGTAGGGTGAAATTTGAATCCAGTACATAGTTCAATTAGACCTATTAAGCTGCAACTTTAATCAGACAAATACTTTATCAAGCTTATATAATTCTTTGTATCACTCTCGAACATGATTTGATGGGATATAGCAATTTAAGAAAATAAAAATAAAAATTATAAAAAAAAAAAGAAGGTATATCAGAATCACTTGAGAAGGAGATCGTAAAAACAGTTTCTTCTTTTTAAAAAAGTGAAAATACAAATGCTTTAGAATATGAAAAGCTGGAGAAATACTGTCGAATAACTTTGTTAGAAGAAAAGGGGGAAGCACAAATATCTGTATGAGGTTTTCTGTCTTTAGTTTAACATAGTAAACTTTAAGATTCTAATTAGCTGTATGTAATTTGCTTTATTTAATTATGGTGGAATCTACAGAAGATTAATATCAAAGTTAGGTTCCTAATCATTCTGCTCACCAACTTTACACGAAAGAGAATAAATACAGAGTTTTATATGATTAGTTCTCCTCTCATTATCAATGAACAGGTTTTAGATGTCATGGCCCCTAATTTTCAAAGGAACGTGAAAGAGACCCACCAATAATGTTATTACAAAAGGATTTAAGTTGCATACATTTATATTAAGATTTTTCTTATTAAAAAGGCAGTGTGATACACAAAATATCTCGAATTCACGCAGGGTTCCAGGAAGGCCTGCACCCAAAGGATGTGATGTCGATAACGTACGCTAATGCAAGCATTATCAACTGCTTTTACGGCTCAGACCCGTGACCTATATAGATCAAACTGTACCGTTGGAAAATTATGGAGGGGAAGAGGTTTTATTTTGGGGTTGGGGGGTTGAGGGTTAAAAAGAACAACCACTTAACAAAAGCCGCTATGTTTGAAAAAACTTTAATCTTTGTTTGAAAATTGGATATCAAAGAAAGTCAGTTGGAAAATGAGCTGATTGAGAAAGTTACGAGGAGTTAAGAAGATGAAGATTAGTTTCATCTTTCATGCATACATTTGTTTAAGGGATAATTGTATAAAAATACAATTCGCGTAGGTGCTTTTTATCCGCATAGCCATTATTTTAAGTTTTCATCCGTATAGCCCATGAAAGTTTCACAATATGACATCATCGTCTGGATATAACTTTACAGATCTCTATGTAATTTTTTATTCTTTGCACACAACCAACTTAAATCGATCATATACATTCCTATTGCAACTACAACAATGCAAACCAACTATAATGCAACTTGAAAATAATTTAAATTTTCTTCTGTCCCAAGTTCTAAATAGCAGAAACAAAAGAAATAAAAAATAAAAATTGAAAAAAATTGCTACAAATTCGCAATTTGGCAGAGAAATCAACAAAAATTTGACTTTATACATCTTGTTCGAGAAAAGGTAAGAATAAATTTAATTTTATTTTTAAGTCCACATATGTTATACATGTATAAAAATGTATAACTTAGTATAAACTCGTATATGGAATATATAATAATGTATTCCAGTATTTCACCAACACAAAAAAATAAAATTAGCTTTAACTGCACATGTGAAACATGAACTTACTTCAAAGAGAAAGACCATTGCACCAAAGTTGAACAGAAATCGCGAATAGAAAGAGTAATGTGGTATAACACTATTTACACACCTAATATACAATATTATACAATATTATACACTTATTATAATTTTGTATACTGCTGTATAATATTGTATAATGATGTATAATGTTGTATGCGAAAACTAATTTTCACCTTCAATTTCCTTTTTCAACTGGTATGATTCTCAAAACCAATGTTAATCATGTTCAATCAACCCATTACTCTAGATTCAAGTAACTAAAAGCTTTTTCAAAAATTTTAGCGCACCCAAATAATTTCACAGATATTAATCAACACCCATGTGATTTTTCCACCAAAATACATCTTCCTTAGGTCTATTAAAAAACCGCATAAATTGGAATAGGCTTAAAATCTCAGTCCAGAACTTCAATCTTGAAGAAATTTCAAAAAAAATCAAGAACCCAGTTCGGCTTTTTCAGTCCAAAATTTCAATCTTGAAGAAATTTTAACAAAAATCAAGAACCCAGTTCTTTTCCCAATTTTACCTCACCAAATTCGTTCTCAAAGAGTTGCAAAGTAGTCCAACTGAACCAAATCTCTAGGTTGAAGCTTCTTGGACTATTATCAATTAATCTCAATAGCACCCACTCGAATTTGAGCATGATTCTTTCATAAATGTTCAGATCTGAAAAGCTTCTAACTCCCTCAACCTAATTTTTGGTTTGGATATCAAAATCTTGAATTCACAACAAACTTAGGAGAGGTGGCCGCTGGAGTAGAGAGAAGAAGAGGAGAAAATGTAGAAGAGATGAGTGAAGATTGTTTGGGTTAAATATTGAAACTTTTATTTCAAGATATACAATATGGGCCTCAGCCTGTAAGATCCTAAAATATGGGCTCTTTATAATTATAGAACTGGTTCGGGTGATATGCAGTGTAATTGTTCCTTTATTTAAAAGGAAAATGTAAGTTTAAATTAGAAATAACTATTCTCCTTCAAATTGTCTATACTTTTTAAATTTCATTTGGAGAACTAGTGTACTTGACAGAGTTTTTGATTATTTCGCATTTTACTTACCAAAAAAATAAATTAAAACTTTCTTTATATTCTAATGGCACGAAATGGTACCAAAGATTATGCATTCAGTATTTCTCTTCTGAAATTATAGCACAGAAATACGAGTCATATTCAAAACAACAGCTTTAAGTGTTTGCCCCAAGGCACAGCCTAATGTCACGTCCTTAGTCTTGAACTAAGCGCACGTACGGCACTTGACAACTTGCTCACAATTTTGTTATGTCAAGTCAGCCTAAAATACTATACTTAAGATCGTTAAGGGAATATTAGATAAGAAAAGACAAGAGAAATTTGCCAAGGGAAACTTTTTATTATAGAGAACTTGATTGTTTTACTTGGTGAGTTACATATGAATATCCCCATTTATATACTGGTCTCCTAGGGACTAGTTTGTAAATAAAAATTATTACACAAGTCCCTTATTATTTACAAGTAATTCCCCTCTTTAGAATTCTCTACATAGCTAGAATCTTCAAAGGACTTTCCTAGCAATTCCATAGGATTTTAGGGTCTTCCTAGGGAAACCTCTATATTTTTCTTAAATCTTCCTACAAGTGCTAGCCTCTTTCCTATGTAAGCTTTCGATATGGTAAAAATTTATGCCAAGTGCCACCTACGTGGCATGATGATGTGGTAGGTCATG